ATTATAAAAAGGTAACCTTACAATAGAGTCTTTAAACCTTTTTTTTTAAAAGAAAAGGGATGAGTCTGAAATATAACTGGAAAATTAATTAAAACCCAGGGTTAAGTGGGTGGATGCAAATTCATTCTCTGCCAGCAGGAGGCGCTTTTGGAACATCAGAAATATAGCGGTTTTCCCGGTAACGGATGCAAACAAAGCAGCGCTCATAAACCTACTTTATCAGATAAAATGAAAATGCCATCGAAACTTTTCTGAAGACAGTCGGTTCCCTTCAGAGATACATTCATATAAAAACTTGAATTAGAGAGAATGAGAAAAGTGTGGAAAAAATGATAACCTATATTGACGAGGAAAGTCCAGTGATGAGTTACCAGCGTAGCCTGTGTGCCTGCGCTCATACTCTCTTCAAAGGCTGTCTAATTCTAAACTTTAAAATACATTTATTTTTTAGTTATTTTAACTACAAATTTAAATCAAACTGAAAAAAAAGGAAAAGGAAATGATACATTTACACACCTAAGTATTATATCAACCCAAAAAGTAAGGTCCTTATCATAAATGAGTAAGCGGCATTTAAAACAATAAACAATACACATAATACGCACTGTTGCTCAATATTTAATTACAGCTTCAGTCTTCAGATGCATGATATTTTCATTTCCTTAAACCAGGATACACAAGAAACACGTTCAACACAGACACGCAGACGGTTGTCGTGGAAATAAACACTGTAAACAGCAATCGTTCGCATGTCCGCGCTTTATGCGCATCTCGTATATGAAAAGCATTTTAGCCGGCCCTTGGCTTTCCATGTTTTATGGGGACTCTCCATAGGCGTAATGGTTTTTATACTGTAGACAGGTTTACACCAGATCATCTTTTAGGAGTCTCAATAACAGCTTTTGTATATGGAAAGGTGGTTGTTGGACTAAATATTTTAGGAAGCTTGAGTGAAATTTATATTGGTACATGGGAGGAGCGACAGCCTGTGTGTGTGTGTGTGTGTGTGTGTGTGTGTGTGTGTGGAGAGAGAGAGTGAGAGAGAATTTAGAATGATTTCTGAAGATCATGTGACTGAAACCTGGAGTAATGATGCTGAAAATCACAGAAATAAATTACAGTTTAACAGATATTCACAGAGAAAACAGCTGTTTTAAATTATAATAACTTTTCACATTTTTACTGTATTTTTGATCAAATAAATGCAGCCTTGATGAACAGAAGCGACTTCTTTAAGAAACATTAAAAAAATCTTAATCATTCCAAATTTTTGACTGGTACTGTAAAATATATTTATATTGAGTTTTAAATGTTGGTTTGACAGGAAACAATTATCTGCGAGCATCTCCGGTGTTTTCCTTCATCCTCCTGTTGGTTTCCCCTTGGGTGTGACATCACACGGCTCGATGGAGAACATGACTCCATCTGCAGTCAAATCTCTCTCTCTGTCTGTGTTTTTCTCGGGAGATCCCGTCTGACTCACAGATGTCTCAGTCCGTTCTGCCTCCAGTTTCCCGTGAAGTCACAGCTGTGTGGGAAAATGTCCAGTCATCACTTCACCACCTCATGGAAACACAGAGCTCGACGTGAGGCTGGAGGATCTACATCTGTCCCTCAAGACGCACCAGAACATGTGAGAGTTAAGATAGACACACAACAACCACACCATGACATTACAGGTGTGTTTCATGTCTGTAACACACACAACATAAACAAACTCATCTCCATGCACTCTTTCACACATGAGAACATGCCTCACACACACACACTCACACACACACCCACACACGCACACACACACACACACACACACACACGCACACACACAATATCCAGCTGTTGCTGGTAATCAAATATCTCATAGCCAGTCGTTTCCACTGTGTTAAAGCAGCTCGGTCTGTGTCGTTTGTCCTTGTGTAGATGGTTTGGTAAATGTTGGGTATGTTTCTCTACCACCTTCAGACCATATAGAGACCAGCTTTAGACCACCTGATTCATGATTCATGCCACACACAAAACTAAACAACACTTGTGAAAACTCCTGAAGCTTTCTATTTACGCGTGATGTGTGTTGGGATTGCTGGTTTGTGTGTTGTCTAGATGAACTGGCTGAACTGTGAGGTAGTTTGAGCTGGTTGTGCTTTCGAGTGGTTTGTTGGATAGTTGGACTCAGGTTTTCAAGTCATGTATTTTTGGAGTTTTTCATTCAGATGAATACAATCAGAGTTGTATTAAAAAACGTCCAGGCTCTTCCAAGCTTTATAATGGCAGTGAATGGGTGTTTCTGTTCAACGATCCAAAAGAAGGCCAATAAAGCGCATCCATCCATAATAATGGGTGAACTATCCCTTTAATTTAATAAAGATCAACATATGGATTGTTGACTTAAATTGTTCAATCATTTAAAAACTTTTAAATTATTAAAATAAAGCTGGATAAACAGATGACTGACTCTTAAAATTAAGTTTAAAAGTTTAAAAAAAAATTTGATTAGTTATATAAAGTTTGATAAACAGATTGACTTAAATTAAGTAAAAATAATTTAACTATTTTAAAAGATTTTAAATGAAGTTGGATAAACAGATTGACTTAAATTAAGTTCAATAATATAAAAACATTTTATTTAAATAAAGTAGGATGAACTGATTATTGACTTAAATTATTAAGTGCAATCATTTAAAAACCTAAATTATGTAATTATGACTTAAAAGATTAAGTTCAATAATTTAAAAACTTTAATAAGGTAATTATTTGTAAGGTTTATAAGTTAAGCAGATACACTCAGTCATGAATTCAGATGCTGTTTAACAGATTGTCACCAGGAATTAATTCACAGACGAGAACGACTCCATAAGCCATAAGAGCAGTGAAGAAGAATATTAATCAATCAGTCATAAGAGCTCGTTAATGACATCGAAAGACACATGTGCAGAAAAACCTTTGTTCTGGTTTAATGCTTTATTCTTTGATGCAACTTTAACACACAATAGCAATTAAAGTCAATGGTTCAGTGTGTAGAACATCTGGCAACATTAACACACACACACTCACACACACACACACACACACGCACGCGCGCACTCACACACACACACACACACACACATACACACACACACACGATGCGCAAAACTCCGCATTTGAACAGTCAAATAAAACACTCTAAACTCTCAATCAGACGACAGAAGACATGCAGGAGATCGAGTGAGAAACGAGTTTAACAGCAGAGTTTGATCATTTAGAGGAAGTTCATGTATTAAATATGATACAGCAGGATTTATAGGGTTAATGTGTCCTTTATGCAATTTAGAGACTATCACTTTGTGCACTCGGCCAGTTGCATAAGCTACTTAGACTAGTCTTTCATTACATAAAAAAAATGTAGATTGGTCTAATTTGACCCTAAAAAAGGAAGGCTGGTTATCTCTTGGCAAACTACTAGTTAGAATAGTTCTCAAGGCTCCAAATGTTTGATAGTTTCTTTTATCCTGTTAAATCAGTGAACCGGTCAGAGCAAGCAATGGCTGTTTTGTGTGTGTGAGATTGTTTTGTGTGTGTTTGTTTACTCATGTTTGTGTTTTGGACTGAACAGGAACAGGAAAGAGATGATAAACATCCATTACAGCTCTGGAGTCACGGTGACTCTGAAACACATAGTCGCTCTGAGAATAATTACACCTGAACAACAGACAGAGAGAGAGGAACATTTGTAAACCATTACCAGACCATTTCCTCTGCTAATACAGGATCTAGCTGCAACAAATGTCCCATGATGCATTTGTAATATTAAACTGCAGTGTGTGTGTGTGTGTGTGATGGATAGAGCGTAGAAGCTACATCAGAACCTCGTTTGCATTTCCTGGGCTGGTTTTTGGGAGTTTCTGATGACTTTGGAAAGGTTCCTCAGGAAAGTTCAGGACCTGGAAGAGCGAGCGAATCCCCGATCGGGCCTCCGCCGAGACTTTACACGAGCCATCGGGAACTGAAGTGTGTGTATGAGAGCGAACAGGAAGTCAACGTTTGACTCACACACTGTTTTATGCTTCAGAGGCGGTTAATGTTTGCCAAGAGCGAGAGAGCTGTAATTGCACACTTCCTCTGAAGAGAGAGAGAGAGAGAGACATATGCATATAACTCCTACTTTATTATCAAAACATTATTTTAGTTCTGATGTTTAAAAACTTCATAAATGGTATGAACAGCAGGCTGAAGCATTGAGAAAATGGCAAAAAAGAGAAGAGGATTAAAACATGTTTAGTATATTAAAAAAACAACAAATTTGACAAAAAAAGTTTTTATTTTAATTTTTTCTTTGTGCATGCTTTACATAATTATTTGCTATGTATTTGAGAAGATAATCTGTAAATCTTACATGAGGATTTATTACACATTTATTCTGACATGTGATTTCACTGACAGAAGTTCAGCTGCAGTATTAATGTCATGAAGAGAAAAGAAGAGACTCTATAACATCTCACTGTTACTGATTCATCATGCAGCTCAAAGCATTATGGGTAGAATCTCTCGTCAGTCTATTCTGATTCATCAACACAGTTTCACTGATGATCCAACACCAAAAACCATAGAGCCAACCCAGAACCCAGGATAGAGCGTCTGAGTGAATGTGGTCTGGACTGTGTGGATGAGGCTCATTGTGTCAGAGACGCTGTAGAAGGACAGAGTTCCTGCACTGTTATCCACAAACACTCCTATTCTCCTGCTGATGATGGGGTTCACAGAGAGAGCAGTCTGTATGTTATTGTGTATGAATGAGTAGCTGGAGGGAGAGCAGATCAAACTCCAGGACTGATCATTACATCCAAACAAACATTCATTACCCTGTCCCTTCCTGCTGATGCTCTTATATGACACTGATATACTCCACTCAATCTCCCAATAACAGCGTCCACACACACTCTCGCTACACAACACCTGCCACACATCAAATCTGTCTGGATGACCAGGATACGGCTGATCTCTGCCAGTGTTAGAGTGTAAGTTGTTGCTCTTAGACAGACGGAGGAGTTTATTCACTGTGTTCAGATCCAGAGTGAGCTGATGGGAATCTGAGAATCTGATAACACATCAGAATCAGGAATTATGAATCTGTTTGATCTTTTCATGTAGCTGAACTCTTCATGTTCAGTGTATCATCAGTGTCTCAGTACAGATGACCAAATATCTGTGCAAATCATCATTTACATCATCAATTATAAAACTCTTCTTTCACCTTCTACAGGAAGATCATGAACACACTCAGTGAGTTTTTCTGCTTGTTTTCTTACTGACTTACATTGTAGGAAGTCGTTCCTGGTTCTGGGAACAATGTTGGTGAATGTGACTGTGGAAATCAACAGACATGAACAGTGTGATTCTCATGATCCTGTATCCATTCCTAACACATTTCTAATATGATGTTCTCCATGATACGAGATGAGGATTTTTTCTGAGAGCAGATGAATCTCCAGGACTTTACCTCTGTCTGAGATCTTCTTGAGCTCCTCTTTGCAGAAATCCTCCAGTTTGTCTCTCAGCTGATGGACAGATTCTCTCAGACCATCAAAAGAGAAGAGAGAACTGAAGAGATCATCATTTACGTCTGTAGATTCAGGAGGTGCTGAGAGAGACTGGAAACTCTACAGAAAACAGAAATCAAAACTTATCAGCTCCACACTTCTATAGTCTTTTCAGCCATTTATTTTTTCAAATGAGTGAGAGAGATGTGAACAAACATCATGTTTATATTTCCATGTTCAGTTTTAATGAAGACTTCTATTAAACTACTGTATGGAATACTGAATGTAATGTATATTGGGGCAAATATTTGCTAGTAATTAGAGATGCACCGATTGCAATTTTCTTGTCCGATTCTGCTTTTTTGGTAAGTGTGACTTGCATGCCTCCTGTGTGGCTTTGATTGGAACTATTTTATTTAGTGAAATTGAGCAAAGCCACTCCAAATTGTATCTAAAATGTAAGTCACTTAAT